GTTAGGTGAGGACCTGTGTGCACACTGTGCGTTAGGTGAGGACCTGTGTGCACACTGTGCGTTAGATGAGGACATGTGTGCACAGTGTGTGTTAGGTGAGGACATGTGCGCACACTGTGTGTTCGGTGAGGACATGTGTGCACACTGTGTGTTCGGTGAGGACATGTGTGCACACTGTGTGTTAGGTGAGGAACTATGTGCACACTGTGTTAGGTAAGGGCCTGTGTGCACAGTGTGTGTTAGGTGAGGACCTGTGTGCACACTGTGTGTTAGGTGAGGAACTATGTGCACACTGTGTTAGGTAAGGGCCTGTGTGCACAGTGTGTGTTAGGTGAGGACCTGTGTGCACACTGTGTGTTAGGTGAGGAACTATGTGCACACTGTGTTAGGTAAGGGCCTGTGCGCACACTGTGTGTTAGGTGAGGACCTGTGCGCACGCTGTGTGTTCGGTGAGGACCTGTGCACACACTGTGTGTTCGGTGAGGACATGTGCGCACACTGTGTTAGGTGAGGACATGTGTGCACACTGTGCATTCGGTGAGGGCCTGTGTGCACACTGTGCGTTCGGTGAGGGCCTGTGTGCACACTGTGCGTTCGGTGAGGGCCTGCGTGCACACTGTGCGTTCGGTGAGGACATGTGTGCACACTGTGTGTTTGGTGAGGACATGTGTGCACACTGTATGTAAGGTGAGGACCTGTGTGCACACTGTGTGTTAGGCGAGGGCCTATGTGCTCATTCTGTGTTATGTGAGGGCCTGCTGAATGTTGGCTCTTTTCTAGATGCTTGATATGCACATGGTACAAAACAGACCCAAGTCTCTGCTCTTAGGATATGTGTGTTTGTGTGTATTGGGTGTGTGCATGTCTATGTGTGACTGATGGACCACAGACTCGTAGGTTAGAGAGCATGTTAGTGGTTGCAAGTGCCATGGGAGGGAGATGATGGTGTACAGGTATGGGATCAGGAAGACCTCCCTGAGAAGGTGAGGGCGTGGGCCAAGTGGATGCCCTTGGAGCGTGGTCCAATCAGAGCACACAGCCATCCCTGAAGCCAAGGCTGAGTGTGTCTGGAGTCTGTGGGCTGCAGCTGGGAGGCCAAGGGCCTGGCATGGAGGCAGGAGGAATGTGGGGCCTGGCCATGGGGCGCTGTGCTCCTGCAGGGGCTGGTCTGGCTCGAAGTGGATGAGGAGCCCCTGGAGGATCTGGGATCTGAAAGAAGGGAGGCTGCCAGGAGGCTGGAAATGCTCCTGGTGGGAGAGGTGGGTGGCCTGGGCTAGATAGCGGCAGTGGAGGGAGAAGAGCTGCCCACAATCAAATGTTGCAGCTGGAGGCCTAGGGATTCCCCACAGGGCGAGTGGGAACTGCCCCCTGAGGAGGGGGGAGAAGGGGGGCTTGGGGAGGGCGGGTTTGAGGGGGACAGTGGGTTTGAAATGATAGCTAGGCCCTGCATGAGACTGCTGGGGTTTGAGTTTGGCGTTTAGGGTGAGGTCTGGGCAGAGGCTCCTCATTGGAGGAGTGTGGTCACCTTGAGGGGCATTAGGAGCCACCGTTCTGGATGAACGCACTGCCTCTCGAGTACAGACAGAGGTGTCCCCCTCGAGGAGGCGGGAAGAGCAGGGAAGATGGAGGAGGACAGTGAGGAAGGAAGAGAAGCAGAGGGTGGGATCCTGGGTGGATGGGCCCTCAACTGCGGAGACTGAGGGCAGACCCCAACCGGGCCTCCGGAGATCCCGGCCCTACTGGGGAGAGTGGGCAAAGCATCCAGACTGTGCTTGTGGGGGCTGAGAGGCAGGCGGGGTCAGTGATTGTTCTCAAGGTCCGGTCAATGTGCTTGTGACTGGATGGACCCAGCATGACCAAGGGGTCCTGGTGCTGCAGGCAGGCCTCAGCCTCTTAGAGCGGGTCAGCAGTATCGATGGGGATGGCATCCACCCCATGTGCCCACACCCCCGTCCCCGCTCCCTGTGTCCCTCACACCACCTCGTCCCTCCCTGCGGCCCCCTGTGTACCACCTTCCCCCCCCTTCTGCCCTCGCCCCCTGCCTGTGCCTGTGCTCTGACCTCGGTTTCGCAGGGCCTGCCGCCACAGGATCCTCCCTATGATGCTGGTCCATGCGCTCTTCACCTCCACTGAGCTCGCCTGCAGGATGTAGGTGTCCTGAGACCTCCGCCGCCGTCGGAACCAGATCTCAAACCTCAAGCCGCTGTCGCCCACGTTCTCTGTCATCCCGATCTCAGCCGTCTGCATCACAGCAAACCCCACAGTGGCCCCAGATGCCTTCAAAAAAGTGGGGTGATTGTGCTGCCCGATCGGCCTTTAGCTTGTCCTTAGTGTGGGGCAGAGCTAGAAGCCAAACAGCTGGCTCCCTCTTGGGCCTGAGTGTCCCCATTTGGGAAAGGAAGGGCTGGACTAGAAGCTTCTGGGCCTTTATCACCTCTTGTGTTCATTACCCGGCATTGGTCCATGAAGGGTTTATGGTTTTGTGGTCCTCTCCAGAGCCCCCCAAGCTTCCATGTACAGGACTGTTCATTCTCAGCCTGTGTATGGGAGGCGGCAGGTGAGGAGACCCACCGGGACCCAGGTCATGCCTGTCCACAAAGTCCCTCTGTGCTCCCTAAGCTCAGGGAGGGCCCCTCCCTGGGGAGGGAGCATCTGTTTCCCAGGCAGTTGATGCTGTCCCACTGGCTTTCCTCTCACTACTTCCCTCTGCTTGTCTGGAATGACACCCTGGTCCGAGGGACCCCAGGGGCGAGACTGGGAGCCTGGCGCCCGCAGCCGTACCTTGAAGGACTGCTTGTATACATAGATGTCATAGCCGCCGTCCATCTTCTTGGTCTTGCTGAACAAGATGAGGTCCTCAAAGAGGAACACCTGCCGCAGGTACTTTCTCCTCCCACAGCAGACGACAAACTCATCCTGGCACCTGAGGGGCCCCTGTTCCTTCAAGTTCACCTGGAGGGAGACAGCTTCCTTAGCAACAGCAATGTGAAGGACGTGGGTTCTGTGGCTGGACAAGAGTTATTTCCTTTCTCAGTGTCTGGGCCTCTTGAAATGAGAAAATGAGACATGGAGGGCAGATTCCCATAACTTCTGTAAACACATCTCAGTATTAGCTTTTAATGAGAAGTTTTAAGTGGCTTTAAGTAGAAGCTGCAGCATCACTAAAAACAATGACTCAAGAACTCAGGCAGACTCCTAACCCTGTCATCTGACCCTCCACAGCCTCATGAGGGAGGGAGACTCTCTCACACCGGGTGACACTGCCCAGGGGTGCCCACAAAGGCTACCTGGGGCCAGGTTGGGGGGCAGAGACGAAGTGGCTGTATTCTAGAGCGGCTACAGATCATGCTGCTCGCTGAGGGTCAGCACTAAAGGCTGGGCATTACGAGACACTCATGGGGCCCACATCTGGGAGACACTGCTGCCCCTTGCCCAGGTGGGAAGGGGCACCATCTCCAGGGCACTTGAGGACGGTGAGGACGTGGGAGGAGCCAGAGTCCTGGACCTCCAGGACCCAACCAGGCAGAGAGGAGAGCGCTTCATGTGCTCGCTGGGCCTGGGGGTCCCCCACAGGCATAACGCTTCCTAATACAGGGCTCTAGCTGGGTAGGTCCCCACGTTCCCATGCCTCCTGCACACATTTTCCGAGGTTGCAGTGAACGTACCTCTTTTGGGTGTTGTTTAACTTCCCACTTTAACTTCCCCTTTAAAGCCCTCGTGTACATTTTAACTGAAACCCCCGTTGATGACTAAGCGGCCCATGTTCCCAGAGAAATCTCCCAGGCTCAGGCTGGGCCTTGCCCTCACTCCTGCTGCTTCCTATGGGGCTGACAGGGGATGGACACAGCTGGCCAGAGTCTCTTCCACTGTCTCCGCTGCATCCAGGGCACCTCCCCTCTATGGCCTCCAAGAGCAATTCGGGCGGCCGCTGGCCACCCTCACAGGTCATGGTGAGACGGGCCTGGGGTCAGCTGCCCCCAGGGCCCTTGCAGGAGTGGCCCCGTGGTGCACAGCCCTGCACTCAGAGACCTGAGCCTGGCTCAATGCTCTGAGGCTGCTGTCTTGATACAGTTAACGATCTTTCTAATGAGGTCCCCACAGTGTCACTTTGTCCTGGTCTTGCAAATCCCATAGCTGGCCCTGACTGTCAGGGAGGCTCAGTGTCCCGCCGTGCCCCTCTCTGCCATGCTGCAGCGCAGGCGGGCACTCACATCACAGCCGCGCACAGCGTCCATGGCCAGCAGGTCATTGCCGTGGCGCAGCTGGAAGCGGACCATGTCCTCGGCGGCCCGCAGCTGGCCGAGCTCCTGCTCCTGGGTGGGGCTGTGGCCGGCCTCCTTGACCAGGTCCTTGAGCAGCAGCGCGTACTTGCTCATGCGCTGCACTGGCTTCAGCAGGTAGGAGGCCAGGTCCATCTTGTCCCCCAGTGCTTGCTGCTTGGCCTGTGGGGAGGGGGTCAGACAGGCAAGTGAGCGTGAGCCTGGCCAGGACCAGTTGGGGTGGGGTGGGCGTGGGGCCGACCTTAAAGAAGGCATTGCCATGGCTGCTGAGCAGAGCATCCGAGCGCGGCTTGTTCTTGCTGTAGAGTGCGTACATGCTGAACTGCTCCTCCTGGAAAACGGGAGGGACCACGGGGCATCCATGCACACTGAGTCCGCAAGTGCGGACAGACACACGGACATACAGACACACACATGGGCAGACGTGCACATGGGCACGCACACACACGGGCACACACACGCAGACAGACACATGGAGAGACACATGGACACATAGACACTCAAACACATAGACACACACTAACATATACTTGGACACAGACACACGAAGACACATAGAGAGGACAGACACAGAGACACACATGGATAGACACACGAAAGACACATGGACACAGAGATGTGAACACACAGACACACATGAACACATACTTGGACAGAGACACACAGAAATGGACAGATACACAGGAACACACATGAGCAGACACACGGACAGACACACACAGGCAGACACATGGACACATAGACGTGAACACAAGACACACACATAAGCATATGGAGACACACAGACACACACTTGGACACACACAGATACATGGACACACGTGCAGACAGACACACACAGACACACACTCACCCTCCCACCTCCATGAACCCAGAGACGTGTGAGGTTTTGAGCCGGGCGCAGCCCTCTGTGGCTCTCACCAAACATTTGAGGCTTTTAAAGACCAACAGACATGTTCCGAGGGGAGACCCCTGAACACTGGTGCCAGAGACAAACCAGGGCTTTTCTCTAAGTGGGGCTAAACCTCCCAGAAGGGAGAGTTTCATAATCAGCTCCACAAGTTCTATGACAACTTAGTAGGGTTTGATCACAATGGCACTGAATTTAGAGATTCATTTAGAAAACTTCTAGAACTGGAGACTCTAGTCCGTGAACATGGTAGGCCATTCTATTTATTCAGGTTTTCTTCTGGGCTTTCAGTAAAGTTTTATGTTCTCCTTGTGAAGGCCTTACTCAGGGAACTAGTTAACCAGGGCTTGTTGCCTACACTGTGTTCCAGGGACTATTACGGGCTCTGAGACTTTTCTTTTTTTTTTTAAAATGTCCACACAATTCTCTCAGATGTGAAGTCCTACAATATAGTTTTTAAGTGTTAAAAATAGTTTTTCTAATATGTCATTTGAATAATTTGATGAAAGAATACCAGAAGAGGTTAGACTGTGAAAAGCAGTCCCATTATAAGTGAAATACTGTAATTTGGTTTCTAACAAGGAGCAGCTTGGCAAAGTTGGCTTGATAGAAGTTGGCAGAAAATTCCAAATGGAAGATAGCATTTGAAGCAGCAGAAAGAAAGCGAAAGGGTTACTGTAACAAACTGTATAATTAGCATTTTAGTCACAAATATGAAGTTAAAAAGAAGAGAAAAATGAATTAGTTAAAACCCCTAAAAATGCCAAGAGACCAGTAAGGTAAGAGGGGAACCAGGAAACGACCAGAGAAGCCATTAATTACCAGCAATAAACTGAGGTTGGCACGCTCCTGGGGAAATGGACCCACAGAAGGACGCTAAACACTATCGTCACAGAAAAATGATTTTTAAAAGGATTAGAAGGAATCGGTGGAAACTAAAAAATCTCCATTGAAAAACCAGTTGCCGTCAAGTCATTTCCAGCTCACAGCAAACCCATGTGCGTCAGAGTAGAACTGCGCTCCACAGGATTGTCAACGGCTGCTTGTTTGGAAAGTAGATCTTTAGGCCTTTCTTCCAAGGCAACTCTGAGTGGACTTGAACCATCAACCTTTTTGGTAGCAGCCAAGTGTGTTAACCGTTTGCACCCGCAGGGACTCCCACCCTAAACACACTTTCCTGAACATTGAAGATTTCCACAAACTAAACCACTTATGACATTCGGATATGACAGATCAGATGATCCTTAACGTCTGCTCTAAAGACAAAATGAAAACTTTGCAGAAATGATAAAAGCTTTTAAAACCATTCCATGCAATGTAAATTGCTGTATACTTTACAAATTATTAAAAAAATATTTTAAAATTTGGTAATTTTTTTTTATTCTTTTAAGTCTGAAGCAGTTATTTTGGCCACTTGAGTCACCAGTGCCTGGGACACTGCTCATTGAGTATTTGTGGAATTTTCTTTTCAGAGTAAGTTAAACATTTTATTAAAGGGTGAACATGACCCCAGTAGAGAGCTACTCCATATTCACGGTTGAGAAGAGACAGAGAGAACAACTCTCCTTCAATCAGTCTCTATCTTCAATGTGCTTCCAGTCAAAATCCTAAAAGGTTATTCCCCGAACTCGACAAACTGATCCCAAAACTCATCTAGAGGGCAAACGGACCACAGGGAGAGGGTCAAGGAAGACAAGGCACAGGTTCTGAGAACTGATCACTGGCAATCTGATTTTGGGAATTGCTTTTGTCCAGTTGGCCTAGAGTGGAAAGGCAGCAACAGCGCCTGTCCCACGGGGTTGTAGGAGAATTACACGGGATGATATAGGTGAAGCTCCCCATACCATGCGTCTCTCAGCATGGGAGTTACTAGGGGACACCCTCTGTAAACTGTCAAGTGCTGTCACACCCAGTCTTATCGTCTGCTCTGGGGTGTATGTTTATTGATGAGCTGCAAAGAATACACTTCCTAAACTTGTCCTGGAGCCATTCAGATTACCCAAAACTTAAAAACCCAATCTGTGGGCACCTGACCCACGAGACTCTCCCACACCTGGGGAGAAGGACCCGGCCCCAGAGTCCTCAGGGGACTCACGTGTTTCAGGAAGCTGCAGCCCACGGCCAGCGGGCAGTGCCGGCAACGCTCCAGCTCCCTGAGGAAGTGCCGGCAGTGAAAGTCATGGAGCTTCTCCAGGTTCCCAAAGATGGTGCCGCGCTTCCCTCGCAGGTCCTGGGGCAGGTCCATCCTTTCCATTTCTGGAAAATAGTTGTCGATGACATATCCTAAGGACCTGACATACTCCCTCTCCGTGGAAACCATCTCGGCCATTATGTGGTGCAGGCGGCTGGAAGACACAGAAAGAGGGCTGGATGCGTCGTGCAGGCTCCACAGACGGCATCTCATTAGAGACTATGCCTCACACGAAACAAAGCCGACTTTAGGAAACTCTCACACACAGATGCGAGGTGCAACCTGCGTATGTGGGGTGCAGAGTAAGAAAAGAATCTCTTGCGATCACTTGTTTTCAGAAATGAATGATTGAAGTCTGCTCCTCTCCCAGTACCTGGGGTTGCTCCTCTGATAAGCAGTAATGAGAAAAGATGAGAAATAAAGAGGGGGATGCATTTTAGGGAGAGACTTGAAATATCATCCATTTACTGACCATGGTTAGTTGGCCTTTTCAGATAAGAGATCCCTTTGAAAGCTGGAAAGGCTCGATTATGCCAGACCCCCTAACTTAATCTCTGGGCATGGGGACTCCTGTTCCAGGTGGTTTAATTCTGGAACCCTCTCTGGGAGCAGTTCTAGCAGGAAAGAAGAGGCCTCTGCACAGAAGGGTGTGATGGGAATTTATGAAGCAAAGTGGGTTTCGCACCCATGTTTACTGCTGCCCCACCAAAAGCTATTTCTGAAAAGCCGGCTTTGCACTGTGGTCACACCTGACCCGATGAGCTCACAGATGTGAGCAGCTTCAACCCCAGGACCGATGCACCCAGGAACGGAGGAGAGGCGACGGCTGGAGCAGAAGACAGGAGAGCAAAAACCTCACAGTGCAGGGATGGATGCCAGCTGGGCCAGAGGCAGGAGGCTGGGATGGACGCCAGCCGGAGCAGGGCCGGGAGGTCACTGTCCAGAGCTCTCCTCCTTGACACAACCAGGGCCTCCCGCCTTAACAAGGCTCATGTGGAGGGGCTGTAGACCAGCACATTGTAGGAGGTGTTCCAGTGACCAGGGGACACCATGCCCCTCCACTGGCCCAGCCTCCCCAGCTCTCGCCACTGGACATGAACTCGTTAATGATAGCCCGTGTCCACCCTGCCTCATCCCCTGGGTGGTGGAGGAGCCCAGAGGATCTGTGTTTCCCCGAGAGGGAGGATGACAGAAGGCAGACTGTGCCCTCTCTGTGCAAAACAGCTTGTGCTACGATCCTATAAGCCTGTACTGTGCTTCCAGGTCAGTATTTTCTCCTTTTGACCATTAAAAAATGTCTGAGCCTTCAATAAGAATAGTCGTGTGTCTGTTGTAAACAGACGTGGAATGCTCAGGGTTCCCTCCACCTTTCTGAGCTGGCTTGGCAGGATCCACAGGGCTGGGGGCTCCCTGCTGCTCCCTCTGATGCCCCTGCCCTGGAGGCCCTCCCGGTGCCTGCGATGTGCGCTCAGGTGTGCACCTGCCATCACTCTCAGAGGAAGCCTGCGAGGGCTCCAGATGGTGGCCCGAGCCGCGCTGCTTTGCCCACATTTGATGGGGTTCTACTGTAACGTCTTTAAACAGCTGGATCCTAATGGCAGTAATGGGGGCTGGCAGATTTTTTTTGTCTGTGGTTTTTGCACTTTTTTTTTTAAATTGGAAAAAAGTGAAAAGCAGCTAAGGATGGGAGATGCTGTGGTGGGAGCCCATTTGCAGCAGAGCGGGGAGCCCGTTTTTCCAACCCCCCGCTTCCCCTTGTGCCTGCAAATACGGGTTGACAAATACGTCGTTTCTGAGTAGACAGCGCCTCTGCTGGTTGGGCCACCCAGAGCCAACCTGTGACCATCTGGACAAGGGTGCCTCTGTGGTTCAAGGGGACCAGGTGCCCTCTGCACAGTGAGAGAACAACCCTTCACACCTCAGCCAAAGACAAAACTGTCCCTTTTAGGTAATCTGAAACACAATCAAATTTAGAATACTACCTATCACATGGAGCCCTGGTGGCGCAGTGGTTAAGAGCTCAGCTGCTAACCAAATTGTTGGCAGTTTGAATCTACCAGCCGTTCCTAGGAAACCCTGGGGGCCGTTCTACTCTGTCCTAGAGGGTCGCTGTGAGTCAGAATCCACTCGACGGCAACGGGTTTGTTTTGATTTCGTTCCTATCGCACATATGAGGGTAGGATATGCTCTGGTGATTTGGGCCAAATTACACGGACAATTTATTTATCAGGAACTCATGGCTAGAAATTACTGTGGGGGTGGCAATCTAACACCGCCTGGCACCTCAACAGCAGCCCAACATCTAGAAACCTGGACTTTGTCATAAAAAAGTAAAAGAAAGCATAAACTTTAAAAGGCTGTAAATTGCTTCATGACCCCACCGTCTTTCCCATGTGATGTGGGTTGGCTCCCATCACTAAGATGCTGTATGGGCAAGGATAGGGGCAAACTTTTTAATAACTAAAGGAAACCTTGGGTTTCAGCAAGTTGGTGTTGGTTCAGTACAAAGCTCCATCCTCTTAGCCTGACATCTGAGAAGGACTCACTCCCCTCCCAGCCCGACACACATGGGTTTTGGAGGATTCCGGATGCCATGACTACAAGGCTGTCAGGTCGGTGTGTCTGTGTCTGGGATGGGGACAGAAGTGACCTGTTCCCAGAGGCTACATCAGATGCCAAGCAGAGGGAGGGTGACCTCCTAACTGCTCATGGCCTCACGCCGGCTGGGGAACAACCTACGGGGCCCAGGTGCCTCCACTTCAGTGGCCCGGGGATGGGCTCTCGGTAGACGGCCCACACCCCGGCATCCTGTGACCCCAAAACCTTCAGGACGAGGTCAGAGGCAAATCACAGCCCATAGGTGTGGCCTGGGTTAGTGACTCAGAGCTTTGTTGTTTCTCCCTCCTCTGTAGGATTGGGACTTCTGATAGGTCTGATGGTCCCATTTGTCCTCATCATCACAGGTAGCTGAGGGGAGGCAGACTGGACAGGGCTCACACAGGACTCTGTTATGGATTCAACTGTGTCTCCCCAAAATATGTGCTGTAAATCCTAACCCCTATACCTGTGGTTGTAATCCCATTTGGGAACAGGGTTTAAACTCAGATGGAGCCCTTTCAGCCTGGCAGGACAGGGGCGTGGGGGGGTCCCAGCATTTCTATCTTGTAGACAAGCATCTAGAGCTATGATGGCCCCCACTGGCTGCTGGGCCGAAAGGGCAGGGAGTGTCCACCTCACCTTCCCGAACGCGGCCTCCCGTCCCCCTCAGGGTGGTGGACCCTGGATGGAGAGGACAGGCTGCGGTTCCGGGGAAGCGGAGGGGTCTTGGAGGCCACATTACTTGTCACTTCCAGGCCCTTGATGTGTACCCCGATGTGTCCCAGCTGGCGGGGCTCCCTGGGACCACCGTCAGTGATGGGGGACTCGAAGCTCTGTGTTTTCTTCATTATCTTCTTCAGGGGGTGCTTCCTGAGGTGGGGACCCGGGGCCCAGGCAGGCTCAAGGTAGCAGGGGGAGCCGCTGTCCGGGGAACCCTCCCTGGAGGGCGGTGTGTCCCATGGAACAGGCACACCTGGGCCCAGGTGCATAGCCTCCTGTGCACTCAGAGTGTCCTGCCCAGAGAGGCTGGCCTCCTGGGGGAAGGGCGGGGAGCTGCAGCCAGGGGCAGCTTCAGGAAGGGCATCCTCTAGGCAGTGGCCGGTCTTCGGGCCCTGTGACCACAGGGCCTGGCACCGCCACAGCTCCCGCCTGCCGTCAGGCCCTGGCTCCGCTGTGGCGGCCACTCGGCAGCAGCTCCCCAGGTGCTCAGCATCTGGCGAGGACGAGGGAGTCTTGGGGTGCTTCCTGAAGGGTGGCCTCCATCTGGTTGCCTGGAGACAGGGAGGGGGCTGGTCAGCCAGGGAGGGGGGCCGGGGTGTGTGCCCCAGCAGGGCTGTGATCACAAACCATGCGGTTCTGAGCCTGGGATAGCTCAAGTCAGCCCAGCTAGGACAGAGCAAGAGATTGCAGGAGGGACAAACAAACCCTGGGCTCCAAGGCACCTACTGGGTCGGGAGGGGAGGAGGAGATGGCCCAGGCACTCCTTACCTGCTCCTCCAGTCCTCCCCACACCGACACTCTGCCTGGAGCCGCTTCTCTGGGACTCACAGGGAAGATCCTGTGAGCACCAGAGGGGCAGGGGTGCTGTGCAGGCACAGGGGTGCTGTGTGGGCATGGGGGTGCTGTGGGCACAGCAGGGCAGCCACGTGGTTTGTGGCCAGCAGTGCACCCACCATTGCTGCTGCCTCATGGAAGCCTTGATACGCCTCCTGCTTTTCCTTCTCGTTCTCTGGGGAGGCCGGCTCCACAGGGCCGGGGGATGGCTCTTGTTCCCTTTCAAACCACTGTTTGACCTACGTAGGAAAAGAAGATTTTATTTTTAAGTGTGCAGGGACAAGGACGACAGGCTGTCCCTCTGTGAACAGGCGCCATGAGCACTGGGCACAGCGAGCCCCACCGTTGCACACGTGACACCTGTTCCAGGCGGGCCAAGGGGCGTGGGCCCACACGGTGTGAGTGACCATGCTCTGTAGCTCATCCCCATGACCCTCAGTGCCCAGGAATAAAATCAGTACAGGTAAAAAACGGACCCAGAGCCTTCAGTTTGGGAACCTGTTAATGTGTTAAACATGTCCTAGAAACATTTGTTGGGCCGGTGGCTGCTTGAGGCCACCCAGCGCCGTCTGCTAACCTTCACACCTCCGTGACAAAATCAAGGGCCTTATTTTAGAGGCTTGTAGTGGAAATGTCGAAGTACATTTTATTACATTTTGTGTGTAGTTGTCGTAATGCAGCTGACTATAGTGTGCGGGCACTGGTGGTGGGCGCCCCAGGAAAAGCCTGTTATGAAAAGGGAAGGGCTGGGCTGGATCTATGGCCACAAGGCTTGTGTCATGATTCCAGATACGCAGGCAGAGGAGACAGATCAGATCAGACAGATCTTCATAAATGGAGCCAGAGTCATGGGCTTATTTCTATGAACAGGGACTGGTGGGTGACCTCAGAGCTGCTGGGCGCAGGGTAGACAAACACGCCAGCAGAGTGGAGCTGGATGAAACTCACAGACACGGTCTGCGTCCAGCTTCATGAAAAAAGTAAATTCTATCTGATTTGAAAACTTAAATAAAAAAAAGAACTATATGAACTTCATGATAAAAGATATTAGTAGTTTGATAACCTCAAGATAGAAAGGATTATTTAAATCATAAACACAGTTAAAGAACAAATTACAAACTGGGAAAAATCTTTGCAACATAACCAATGGATTACTACAGTTAATATAGTAGAACTGCTACAAATCCATTGACTTAAGTACAAGAAAAAGCAATTCATGAAAGAAACTAAAATAACCAGTAACTGTAAGAAGAAAACGTTTAACCATAGTACAGAAAATCCAAACGGAAACTATGAGATACTCGACTTGAGGAAAGTGGTGCTCTCAGATGCTGCTGCTGAGAATCTTTCTGGGGACTCATGTGTCAAATGTATCAAACCTCAAAAAAAAAAAAAAAAAAAAGCTTTTTCTGATGATGACATCAGGAACCTAGGAATTTGGCCAAAGGAAATACTCGCAAAGCGTGGAAAGATGGAGGTACAGTAATGCTTAACGGTGGTGTTCATGATAGATGAGAAACTGGCAAGAGCCCAGGAATCTTGGGTCAGGAGCTGGGCAAACAGGTTCAGGCATCCAGGACGCGGGAGGCAGTAAGGACGAGGCAGGAAGGTGCACCCCACAGCCCAAGGGACAGAGCCGGTTAGAAAGAGCTACAAGTAGCATGGCCCATTTTTGTGAAAATATATGTCACTTGTAGATTATTCAGACGAATAGAAAACACCTAGGATGGAGATATATGAAAAAAACGTGCCCACTTGAGCAGACAACCAGGGTGGCCAAGAAAACCCCTGGCACGAAAATGGGGCAGGATCACCAGCAGAGCCGTACCTGGGAGGGGGCAGGGTCGTGCACACTGAACCCATTTGCAATGCTCAGAAAGAAGAGGGGCTGCTTCCCAACAAGTCGGGGTGCGGTGAAGAAGTAGCCTCAGAACAGCAGCAGCAGGAGATGCTCAGAAGAAGGGCTAGAAGATGAAGCTGATGAAGTCTGCACCGAAGGTTGAGGAGAAGGCCCATGATGCGGGAACAGGGAGGGAAGTGGGAGACTGCCCGGGGGGCGGGAGCAGGCAGCAGCGGAGCCGCCAGGGACCCCCGGGAAAGGACACAGCACCCTTAGCAAGGGACCCCAGCACTTGGCGCCCCAGGATATGCTGTCCTAAATTCTGGACATTGAGGACGAAGAGTCTGCAAGCTTCCGGGGAGGAAAAGCAGGTCACAGACAAAAGGTCAAGGTTGGACAGTGTCAGACACATCAGCTGCCACACGGGACATTCAGACAGGAGCCAGCATTCAGAATGTGAAGGTAGGAAAGACATTTTCAGACATGCCAGGTCTCAGATTTCCCCCCCTTTCCCCTCTCTCTGGAAAGTACTGGGGGTGGGGCAGCTCCACAAAACAATAACATCAGCCAGGGAAGAGGGAGACGTGGGGTGCAGAGAGGGCGGACGAGGGCCAGGAGCACGAGGTGGGGTGGGTGCTGCCCACAGCCTCAGGCCCTTCTTCCAGTCTCTGTGGCTTCACTCACCTGGTGCTGAGGGGTCCCTGTCCCCCCCTGGCCTGGTGGTGAGGGGTCCCTGCCCCCCTGGCCTGGTTCTGAGGGGTCCCTGCTCCCCTGGCCTGGTGCTGAGGGGTCCCTGCCCTCCCTGGCCTGGTGCTGAGGGGTCCCTGCCCTCCCTGGCCTGGTGCTGAGGGGTCCCTGCTCCCCTGGCCTGGTGCTGAGGGGTCCCTGCCCTCCCTGGCCTGGTTCTGAGGGGTCCCTGCCCTCCCTGGCCTGGTGCTGAGGGGTCCCTGCCCTCCCTGGCCTGGTGCTGAGGGGTCCCTGCCCTCCCTGGCCTGGTGCTGAGGGGTCCCTGCCCTCCCTGGCCTGGTGCTGAGGGGTCCCTGCCCCCCTGGCCTGGTGCTGAGGGGTCCCTGCTCCCCTGGCCTGGTTCTGAGGGGTCCCTGCCCTCCCTGGCCTGGTGCTGAGGGGTCCCTGCTCCCCTGGCCTGGTGCTGAGGGGTCCCTGCTCCTCACTTCCCCAGGGTCAGGTGGACATTCAGCTCACACCGCCAATCCCCACTCCAGGGCCTGAGAGCCAGGATCGGGCACTTGGAGACCAGAAAAACACTGAGACCCACGCGCCCTCATCCCTGCCGGATGTGTGACCACGATGAGTCCTGCACCCTGACCTCCCAGGAGGTGCTCTCGACAAGTTTTGGGGGAGCTGAGGCTGGACAAGGACCCAGAGGTGTCTTCCAGCATCTGCTCTCCCAGCAGGGCCATCATGTCCCCTCTCCCCCCACTTAGCAGTGACCACCTCTCACATTCATTTAGATGGAAGCTGTTGTTGATAAAATGACTTTAACGAAAAAGTTTCTGGAAAAGGTTTATATGCACATGTCTATGGAGGAGAAAGTCAGGATTATAGTGCACTGAAGTGCTAACACTGTTATTTTCAGCAGCATTTGAAAGTATTTTTCTCTTTTGGCTCCTTTGAATTAACTTTTTTTCTCACTGAGCCAGAATTTTTCATGTAAAAAGGCAATAAAGCTCATCTCTGTTTACATGAACTGCAGAGTGAGCTGTGGTGATGTCACTCCCTTCCTCTAGGACCTCAGTGACACTGACCTGGGCCTGCCCCTCCTGGTGCTGCCTCAGCTCCTGCAGGCTCTCCAGCTGCTGCAGACACCGATTGGAGGAAAGGACCAGCCTGTGCACCTCTTCGTCCACCCAGTCGTACAGCCTGGTGGCGGCCTCGATGGCGTCCCTGGAAGAGAGGATGAAGCAGCACGTCCTGATCTCCACGTGGAGGATGGTGCTCCCGGCAACAGCCCTCTGGAGCACCTGAACACTCCTCAAGCATGCTCACTCACACCTGAAAGAAACGACGCCCAGGAGGCCAACCACAGATGTAGGTGTGCACACACGTGACGCCACCATCTACGCAGACACTCAAGACGGAGCCCTGGCCAAGCTGGAGAGAGGCCAACTCCACGTGGCACAGAGGGGATTGGGCAGGGTACGGCAGCCCCCAGGACAACACAGAAGGTCAATTTGGGGCCACTGACTCTGAGTCTCCATCATGGAGAATTTTAACTTTCCTTACACCTTGGCCTTCCAGGGAGCCTCTGCTTCTCTTTGGAGCACATGCGTATGGATTAGCTCTTTCCAGGTAAAGGGCAATGATGCTGGTCAAGGTGCAGAGGCCGGCACCCTGCAGTGATGCCTGGGTGGACACACGCTCCTCGTGCCCAGAGCAGAGTGCTTTGGGCCATTGCTGCAAGCTCCCCAGAGCAGCCACCTTCCATTGGCACCGGCAGCCCTCTCCGGGGGCACACTCACCGGCTGTCCTCACCAGCGACAAACTCGTCTCTCCTCAGCCTCGCCAGGACAGCACCACCTTCCAGCCTGAGGGTGACCAGCAGCGTGTCTTCCAGGACACACTTCATCATGGCCCTGTGCATGCTGATGAGCTCCGCGACTTCCTGCAGAGGGACAAATATCCATACAACCCTGCTCCAAGGGAACCTTGGTCTATTAGTAGTAACCCTGCTCCAAGGGAACACTGGTCTATTAGCAATAACCCTGCTCCAAGGGAACCCCTGTCTATTAGCAGTAACCCTGCTCCAAGGGAACCCCCGTCTATTAGCAGTAACCCTGCTCCAAGGGAACCCCCGTCTATTAGCAGTAACCCTGCTCCAAGGGAACCCCCATCTATTAGCAGTAACCCTGCTCCAAGGGAACCCTCCATCTATTAGCAGTAACCCTGCTCCAAGGGAAGCCCCTCATCTATTAACAGTAACCCTGCTCCAAGGGACCCCCGCCGTCTATTAGCAGTAACCCAGCTCCAAGGGAACCCTGGTCTATTAGCAGTAACCCTGCTCCAAGGGAACCCCCCCATCTATTAGAAGTAACCCTGCTCCAAGGGAAACCCCGTCTATTAGCAGTAACCCTGCTCCAAGGGAAGCCCCGTCTATTAGAAGTAACCCTGCTCCAAGGCAAGCCCCGTCTATTAGTAGTAACCCTGCTCCAAGGGAACCCTGGTCTATTAGCAGTAACCCAGCTCCAAGGGAACCCTGGTCTATTAGCAGTAACCCTGCTCCAAGGGAACCCCCCATCTATTAGCAGTAACCCTGCTCCAAGGCAAGCCCCATCTATTAGCAGTAGGCATGTAAGAATGGCCAGGGTTCCTGGTTTATAACTAAAACTAAAGCACTGCAGTGTGGCTGTGTCCACGCGCCGACATCCAGTTCGAATAGGGAGTGGAGTGCCAGATACGCTGACAGGGAGGGTGAGTCTGAGGTTAAAGCTAGAAAAGAAGGGTGCTCACGACTCGGTGGTGGCAGACCTGCCTTTCAGACTAGAGATACCCAAGTCCGGCCACCAATGAGAAGTGTCCGGGACACCCCAGTGTCATCTTCTAGGCTACCATGGTCTGTGTGGTCAGTCTGTCTCTGCCTTGTTTGAATGACTCATTCCCAAAAGCAATCACTATTCCTGCCATATTGGCATATCACCAAATATTGTTGTTGTTAGGTGCCGTTGAGTTAGTTCCAACTCATAGCGACCCTATGTGCAACAGAACAAAACACTTCCTGGTCCTATGCCATCTTCAGAATCGTTGTTATGCTTGAGCTCATTGTTGCAACCACTGTGTCAATCCATCGCGTTGAGGGTCTTCCTCTTTTTCACTGACCCTCTACTCTACCAAGCATGATGTCCTTCTCCAGGGACTGATCCCTCCTGATAACATGTCCATCCTTGCTTCTAAGGAGCATTCTGGTTGTACTTCTTCCAAGACAGATTTGTTCCTTCTTTCGGTAGTTCACGGTAAATTCAATATTCTTTGCCAACACCACAATTCAAAGGTGTCAATTCTTCAGTCTTCCTTATTCATTGTCAGCCTTCCCATGCATATGAGGCAATTGAAAACACCATGGCTTGGGTCAGGTGTACTTTAGTCTTCAAAGTGACATCTTTGCTTTTCAACACTTTAAAGGGGTCTTTTGCAGAAGATTTGTCCAATGCAAGGTGTCTTTTGATTTCTTGACTGCTGTTTCTGTGGGTGTTGATTGTGGATCCAAGTAAAAGGAAATCCTTGACAACTTTAATCTTTTCTCCATTTATTATGTTGCTTATTGCATCAGTTGCGAGGAATTTTGTTTTCTTTATGTTGAGGTGTGATCCATACTGAAGGCTGTAATCTTTGATCATCAGTAAGTGCTTCAAGTCCTCTTCACTTTCAGCAAGCAGGGTTGTGATCTGCATATCACAGGTTGTTAATGAGTCTTCCTCCAATCCTGATGCCCCGTTCTTCTTCATATAGTCCAGCTTCTCAGATTATTTGGTCAGCATACAGATTGAATAAGTATGGTGAAAGGATACAACCCTGATGCACAACTTTCCTGACTTATTCAAACGACTGCCTCTTGATCTATGTACGGGTTCCTCATGAGCACAATTAAGTGTTCTGGAATTCCCATTTTTTGCAATGTTATCCATAATTTGTTATGATCCACACAGTCGAATGCCTTTGCATAATCAATAAAACACAGATAAACATCTTTCTGGTATTCTCTGCTTTCAGCCAGGATCCATCTGACATTAGCTATGATATCCCTTGTTCCACGTCCTCTTCTGAATCCGGCTTGAATTTCTGGCAGTTCCGTATCGATATATTGCTGTAACCGCTTTTGAATGATCTTCAGCAAGCAAATGATATTGTTTGATAATTTCCACATTCAGTTGGATCATCTTTCTTGGGAATAGGCATAAATATGGATCTCTTCCAGTCGGTTGGCCAAGTAGCTGTCTTCTAAATTTCTTGGCATAGAAGAGTGAGCACTTCCAGCGCTACATCTGTTTGTTGAAACATCTCAATTGGTATTGCATCAACTCCTGGAGCCTTGTTTTTCACCAATGCTTTCAGTGCAGCTTGGATCTTTCTTCAGTACAATCAGTTTCTGATCATATGCTACCTCCTGAAATGGTTGAATGTCGACCAATTCTTTTTGGTATAGTGACTCTGTGTATTCCTTCCATTTTCTTTTGATACTTCCTGTGTCATTTAACATTTTCCCCATAGAATCGTTCAATATTACAACTTGAGGCTTGAATGTTTTCTTTAGTTCTCTCAGCTTGAAAAATGCTGAGTGTGTTCTTCCCTTTTGGTTTTCTATCTCTAGGTCTTTGCACATGTCATTATAATATTTTCCTTTGTATTCTTGAGCCACCCTTTGAAATCTTCTGTTTAGTTCCTTTACTTCATCATTTCTTCCTTTCGCTTTAGCTACTCTATGTTCAAGAGCAAGTTTCAGAGTCTCTTCTGACATGCATTTTGGTCTTTTCTTTCTCTCCTGTCTTTTTAATGACTTCTTGCTTTCTTCATGTATGATGCCCTTGATGTCATTCCACAACTCGGCTGGTCTTTGGTCATTAGTGTTCAACGCATCAAATCTACTCTGGAGATGGTCGTTAAATACAGGTGGGATATACTCAAGGTCATACTTCGGCTCTCATGGACTTGTTCCGATTTTCTTCAGTTTCCATGTGAACTTGCATATGAGCAACTGATGGTCTGTTCCACAGTCGGCCCCTAGCGTTGTTCTGACTGATGATATTGAGTGTTTCCATTGAGTTTTTCCACAAGTGTAGTCAATTTGATTCCTGTGTCTTCTATCTGACGAGGTCCACATGTATAGTCGCTGTTTATGTTGATGAAAAAAGGTATTTGCAATGAAGTTGTAGGTCTTGCAAATTTCTATCAAGTGATGCAATCTCCAGCATCATTTCTATCACTAAGGCCATATTTTCCAACTACAAATCCTTCTTCTTTGTTTCCAACTTTTGCATTCCAATCACCAGTAATTATCAATACATCCTGATTGCATGTTTGATCAGTTTCAGGCTGCAGAAGTTGGTAAAATTCTTCAGTTTCTTCAACTTTGGCCTCAGTGGTTGGTGCGTAAATTTAGATACTAGTCATATTAACTGGTCTTCCTTGTAGGCGTATGGATATTATACCATCACTGATAGCATTGTACTCCAGGATAGAACTCGAAATGCGTCTGTCAGGTTGTTGTACTGTGGGGGCTTGTGTGTTGCTGTGATGCTAGAAGCTATGCCACTGATATTCAAATACCAGCAGGGTCACCCACCACAGATAGGTTTCAGCTGAGCTTCCAGACTAAGACAGACTAGGAAGGACCTGGTGGTCCACTTCTGAAAAGAATTAGCCAGTGAAAACCTTATAAATAGCAGCGGGACATTCTGTGATACAGTGTCAGAAGACCAGCCCCTTAGGTTGGAAGGCTCTCAAAAGATGACTGGCAAAGAGCTGCCTCCTCAAAGTAGAGTTGATCTTAATGATGTGGATGGAGTCATGCTTTTGGGACCTTCATTTGCTGATGTGGCACATCTCCAAATGAGAAGAAATAGCTGTAAACATCCACTAATAATTGGAATGTGGAATGGACAAAGTACGAATCTAGGAAAATTTGAAATCATCAAAAATGAAATGGAATGCATAAACATCGATATCCTAGGTGTTAGTGAGTTAAAATGGACTGGTACTGGCCATTTTGAATCAGACTATCATATTGTCTATTATGCTGGGAATGATAACTTGAGGAGAGATAGCGTTGCATTCACTGTCACCAAATATAGTGGTATGTTTTTCCTGCTGGGTAAGGTGGGGTTTTTTTGGTGACAAGCAGGAAGAAGTGATCTGTTGGTAATTGAAAGGAATCTACAATCAAAAAGGGTTTGAAATTCTCTGCTACAGATGATGGTGTAACCAAATATTTATTTTCAAGTTTTAGCTAAACCCATATGTCCCCACCTATCTGTCAAGTAAATGAAATGTGTGAGAACTTACCTGTGCTGTACCTAGGGCTCTGTGGGTGTTCAGGGAGCAGACTGAATTTTGTAAGAAAGAAATGGCTTGTTTGCAGTTTGCTGTGAAGGATTCCAGTTTCTGTCATGGTGTGAGAGGTGGGAGACAGCAGTAGAAAAGTTCTGTTAGATGCTGAAATAACAGCTTTGAGTTCCTAGATTTATGTTAATCTCACGGTTGTAAAAGACTACCAGGGTGTTAAGCGTGATCTTTGGGAAATTCAATGAAAGCATCAGATGGGAGCAGCCCCACCTCTCCCCACCCACAATGGATTCTAGGCCTCAGACAGGTTGGCACCTCATGCCTACCACATCTTGATTATCCAGAAATAAAGTCTGTGAGTGATTATTATGACAGCGTGGAACTCAGGGGGGTGCTCTTTTCAAATCTGAGTAAAAACATCATATGAGGGAAAGTTCCTGAGGCCCTGGCAAGAGCAGGCCACTGTGCTGTACCTTACCCTTTGGAAGCAGACCCAGTCGCTGTGGCTGTAGGGAAAGGAGCCATCGAGCTCTGCAGTCAGTTGGGAGCTGTCAATGAGCTTGTGCAGGGCCTTCAGGGAGCTCACCACTTCACACTGCCAAGGAAACACGTTCATGTTAGAGCCACAGACCACCCTCCCAGGGAATGACCATTGCAAATGGTTTGCTTCTGGGAGGACTGCTATTAGCGGGTGGAGAGGCCTGAGAGGCTGGTTTAGGGTTATCTCTCCTGCTTTGCTGGGCAGCATTAATGAACAGTATGTGGTTGGATATGGTAGCAAAGGTGAGAATAAATGGAAGGAGAAGAGAGCAACGAGAAATGAAGAAAAGTTCCCAATTAAGACAAAAGCAGTGGAAAGAGACGAAAAGAAGAGAGGGCAGGAAGATGAGGGGAGAAGGAAAGGGCAGAAAGAGGAAGGGAAAAGTGAGAGAATGAATCAAGGGGTTCCACTTCTGACCCGGCAGAGTGACCCTTTTCAGATAAATACCATGAATTCTGCACAAAGTATAAGACAGCTATCTGAAAGCTCAGGAGGGTGTCCAGCAGGTATATGGTGGGGGCAACTGAAACTCTGATGAATGGACTGGCATGGAGTGACTTCCTCGTTTTTATGGCTTTGGCCTGGAGGCAGCCTGTGTATATGGTGAGATATGAAGTGGCTGAAGTTCTAATAGGAAATGGGCATCTTTCTGTCTGAAGAGCCAGAGGATTGAGCCTGCCATAGCCATTGGAAAGGGAAAGTAGATTCCCAGAAGGAAAAAAACTGAGGGAAGGGGAGCCCAAGATTTGTGTGGAAACTCTGTCCAAGTCTCTGGACACATGGGGCAGACTGAGAGCAGCTTGCAGCTAAAGTCTAAAAGAACTGAACCAACCCACTAGAGGTGATAAAGTTTTCAGTTTGAGTTGAACCAAGTTAAGTGTATAACAGAACCCAGAAATGTATAACAAAACCCAGTCTTCACACCATAGCATTCAAAATGTCCAGGATACAATTTAAAATTACTTGATACACGAAGAATCAGGAAAATGTGACCCATTCTCAATGGAAAAAATAATCAACAGAGGCCAACCCGGAGATGACCCGGATGTTGGAATTATCAGACAAGGACTTTAAAGCAGCTATTATAACTATGTTCAATGAGGTAAAGGAAAATACGCTTGCAATAGATGAAAAAATAGAACATCTCAGCAGAGATACAGAAAATATTTTTTAAAAACACACTGGAAATTTTATAACTGAAAAACGTACAATATCTGAAATAAAAAATTCATTGAAAATTGAATGAAGATGTGAGTAAAGAGTCAATGACCCTAAAGATAGACCAATAGAAACAATCTGATCTGAAGAAGAGAGAGAAGGAGAGAACACAGATTCTCAGGGACATATGGGACAATATCAATATGTGTAACTGAAGTCCTAGAGAGAGAGGAGAGAATGAGGCAGAAAAAAAATTTCAAGAAATAATGGGTAAAAATTCCCCAAATTTAGTGGGAGACATACATTTACAGATTTTAAAAGTTCAGCAAAACCTAAACAGGGTAAATATGAAGAAAACCATGCCTAGGCATATCATTGTCCGAAATTGTTGAAAACAGAGAGAAACCTTGGAAGCAGCAGAGGAAAATGACACGTTGCATACAGAGGAACAACAGTTTGAAGAACTGTAGACTCTTCATCAGAAACTGTGGGTGCCAGAAGACAACAGAACATCTTCAAAGTGCCAGAAAAGTTGTGGGGGAAGCAACACCGTCAACCCAGAGTTCTATATACAAGTAGTCCCCAACTTAGGATGTATTCAAGTTATGACGAACCACACTTACGATGGTACTTTTTTTTGTTTTTTTTGGATATCTTATTGTTAGTAATATGTACTACATACACTGTTGCAGCTGATGGTATCATTCTCAGATACTCACATGCAGATGTCCAAAACACGGTAGTGTTTTGAAATGAAAACTAAAAAAAAAAAATGAGGTATTCAACTTACATCACAACTGACTTACGATGGAGTCGTCAGAATGGAACCCAGTCATAAGTCGAGGACTACCTGTATAGAGAAAATATCCTTCAAGAATGAAGGCAAAATAAAGATATTTTCAGATAAAAGAGAAAGAAGCAAGAAAAGAGAGAAAGAAAGAAAAAGAATGTGTTAGGGAAGAAGGATCAGATTTCATATTATGTCCTGTAGGGCTCCCACAAGAATTTAAAGGATTAGAAGTGGGTTTTCAGGCCCCCACTTGGCTGCAGTCAGAACTTACACAAATTCTTTCATGTGTGTACCCTTATCTGCTCAGTTTTATGCATCATTCAGAGTCATACCTAATGCTGAGGGCCTAAAACCTTTACCTGAATTGCTGTATCCTTGTCAGGCCTAAATGCTGATTCTTTATCCACCAACAGCAAAATGCTATGAATTATGGGAGGAACTGTGTTCTGAAAGAAGAAAGAAATATTACTGATTAGCTTTCTAATTTTTAATGGATGGTTGAGTTAACAAAATTGTCCGATTTTGATTGATGCTGCTTAAATAGATATTTTCTCAGAGTAGCTATAATACATAAAATGTAGTTGACTCAGCTTTGGATGTAAATTATTTGCCCTTACGAATTAAAAAAAATGTAATCAAGTCTATTGCGGTCAAATTTACATACTATAAAATTCATCCTCTTAGTGCACAGTCGTGGAAGTTTTGACGAAAGCACACAGTCGCATAACCACGGCCACACCCAGATACAGACCAGTTCACCAAGCCCAAATTTCCCTCCTGCCCCTCTGGAGTCAGCCCTCCCCGTCTCACCCCTGGCAACCACTGATGTTTCTTGTCTCTATAAGTTTGCCTTTTCCAGAATGTCACAGAAATGGACTCACATGGTACTGGCTTCTTTCACTTAGCAAAGTGCATTGGAAATCCATCCATGCTCTGCAGGTATTGTAGTTCATTCCTTCTTACTGCTGAATAATGCTCCATTTACGCACATTCCAGCTTGTTCATCCATCCATGCTGAAGGACATCTGGGTGGTTTTCAGTTTTTGGCAATCATAGGTAAAACCACTATAATATGTGTGAACACAAATTTTCATTTCTCTTGGGTACATCCCAAGGAGTGAGATTGCTAGGTCCTAGGGTAAGTGTATGTGTAACTTTTTTTTTCCAGTTTTTTCTTTTAATTTACTGTGTTTCAGGTAAAAGTTTACAGTGCAAATTAGTTTCTCATTCAAAAGTTTATACAGAAATTGTTTTGTGAAATTGGTTACAATCCCCACAATGTGTCGGCGCTCTCCCCCTTTCCCTTTGCACCCTGGGTTCTCTGTGTCCATTCGTCCAGTTTTTCTGTCCCTCCCTGCCTTCTCATCTTTGCTTTCGAGCAGGTGTTGCTCATTTGGCCTCATATACTTGCTAGAACTAAGAAACACGTTCCTCACACGTGTTATTGTTTGTTTTATAGGCCTGTCTAATCTTTGCCCGAAAGGTGGACTTCGGGAGTGTTTAACTTTTAAAGAAACTGCCAAAGTGTTTTCCAGAGTGGCTGTCCTATTTTGCATTCCCACCAGCAATAGTAAGTATTTAGTATTGGCAAGGGATGTGTGTGTGTGTGTGGGGGGGTATCTCACTGTGGTTTTAATTTGCATTCCCTAATGACTAATGATGTTGAGCATCTTTTCATGCGCTTATTTGCCATCTGTATATCTTTTTTTTGTGAAGTGTGTTCAAATCTTCTGTCCGTATTTTATTGGTTGGTTTGTTTGTTTTCTTACTATTGAGTTCTGAGACTTCTTTATATATTTTGGATATAAGTCTCTAATCAAATATGTTTTTTACAAATATTTTCTCTAGTGTGTAACTTGTGTTTTCATTGTACCAACAATGTCTTTTGAAGACCAAAAGTTTTTAATTTTTATGAAGTTCAGTTTATCCATTTTTTATCTTTTATGGATCATGCTAGTGGTGTTCTAGCTAAGAAAACCTTGCCTAATCCAAGGTCATGAAGATTTTCTCCTGGAAGTTTTATAGCTTTAGACTTTGCATTTAAGTCTATGACCCATTTTTACTTACTTTTTGTATGTAGTGTAAGGTATGGGTTGAGGACCTTTTTTCATATGGACCACCGATTATTCCAGCCCTATTTGTTGAACAAATCTTACTTTTTGATGCGTTTTATGACTTCAGTCAAACCTCCTTGGTTCACGTTTGCTAGATTATAGTTCAGGCCGAGTCATTCAGCAATGTTGTTGTTGTCGGTTGTCATCAAGTCAGCCCCAGCTCACGGCGACCCATGTACAACAGAACGCAGTGTTCCTCTGTGCTGCACCGTCTTCACGATCGTTGGTGTGCTCGAGTCCATTGTTGCAGCCACTGCGGGTCTCCCAACCTGGGGGGCTCCTCTTCCAGCACTCTGTTGGACAAATATTCTGTGGTGATCCGTAGGGTTTTCACTGACTAATTTTTGGAAGTAGATCGCCAAGCCTTTCTTCCTAGTCTATCTTAGTCTGGAAACTCTGCTGAAACCTGTCCACCCTGAGTGACCCTGCTGGTATTTGAAATACTGGTAACATAGCTTTCAGCATCACAGCCCCATGCAAGCCACCACAGCACAATAAACAGACAGATGACTGGTGGCATTCAGCAATGAAGTATTTTTATTACATAAACGAAAATCCAAACCCACTGCTATGATTCTCACTCATGGCGACCCTATGGGACAAAGCAGAACTGCCCCATAGGGTTTCCAAGGCTGTCATCTTTATGCAAGCAGACTGCCACATCTTTCTCCTGCAGAGCAGCTGGTGGGTTCGAACCAGTGACCTTTCTGTTAGCAGCCAAGTACTTTAACCACTGCACCACCAGGGCCCCCTTTTTAAAAATTACATAGTACTTCTCTATTCATTTTCCCTAAAGCTTTGCTTTTTAATAGTTGCTTGTAGTAAGATAAACAGATCTTAGACACTATTTTCTAATTCCCTATTTTGAAGTGAATTTACTGGGTGGGCCTCGAAACTAATGGGTATTTTACGTGTATTAAATTCATCTTACATGCTTATATTTTTGTTAAGTGCTTTTTGTGGATGCCACACAATAAATATCTGTCCAGCCAATAAATTGTCCCCAGGAAAAACCACCCCCATTTTCCCAGTTTAGAGCTGTGATCTCTCTCTTAGTTCAGCTAAAATTTTGAGAGTTATCATTCATTAAAAGCCACAAAAAGTTTTTCAAAGTGTTTTATATCTCTCCTGTATTATATTTGAACGAAATTTTACCATTAGGATTTGTTACTATAGGAAAAAATGAATATTAATTCTTGAGTGAGAACAGAATTAATGCTTTATGACAATTACGCATGTTAGTATACATTAGTCATGTGTTATGTGGAGTTAGCGGTGAGCAAATACTTAGGATTTTCTTTCACTAAGAAAAAAAATCATTATATCCTTTTCAGAATGGAAAGCTTTTTATGGTAACTGAATTTTAATAATTTAATAAATTTGAGGTAAAGTTATTTGAAATTGAGGCAGTTATGAAAATGAGTTGTACTTTTTTGCCCTCTGTGAATAAAAATTCTACTTCTCTATATCCTTCAAAAATCAAACTGAAAATGGAAACAGGACCCTTAGGCTTAATCCAAATGGGAACCGCTGCATCTACCCCGCTCCCCGTGTTGGGACCATGTCTTGAGCTCGCTGTGAGGAAGCCAGGTCAGGGCCTACTGGGTTCGTCCTCCTCAGGGTGAACGGCTTTCTTTCTTTTTTTTAATTGTGCTTTAGATGAAGGTTTACAGAACAAATTAGTTTCTCATTAAACAATTAACACACATGATGTTTTGCAACTTCACTTGTCAACCCCATGACTGTGAACACTGTCCCTTTCTCGACCTTGGGTTCCCCATTTCCGTTGGTCCAGCTTTCCTGTCCCCTCCTGCCTTCTTGTCCTTGCCCCAGGGCTGCTACGTCCATTTAGTCTCATATATGTGGTTGAGCTATGTGTATTATTGTTTGTTTTATGGGCTGTCTAATCTTCGGCTGAAGGGTGACCCTCAGGAATGACTTCAGTACTGAGTTAAAAGGGTGTCCAGGGCCATACTCTTGGGGTTTCTCCAGTCTATGTCAGACCAGTAAGTCTGGTCTTTCTCTGGGAGTTAAAATTTTGCTGTACATTTTTCTCAGCTCTGTCCGGGACCGTCTATTCTGATCTCTGTCAGAGCAGTCGGTGGTGGTAGCCGGTCACCATCTTGTGCTGGATTCTGTCTGGTGGAGGCTGTGGGAGTTGTGGTCCATTAGTCCTTTGGACTAATCTTTCCCTGGTGTCTTTGGTTTTCTTCATTCTCCCTTGCTCCAGATAGGGTGGGACCAGTGGAGTATTTTAGATGGCCACTCATAAGCTTTTAAGACCCTGGACGCTACTCATCAAAGTAGGAAGTAGAACATTTTCTTTATAAACTATGTTATGCCAGTTGAGCTAGATATCCCCCGAGACCATGGTCCCCAGCCCTCAGCCCGGTATTCAGTCCCTCAGGGAGTTGGGATGTGTCTATGAAGCTTCCATGACTTTACCTTGCTCAAGTTGTGCTGAATTCTCCAGTACTGTGTACTGTCTTATCCTTCACCAAAGTTACCATTTATCTATTGTCTAGTTAGTGTTTTTCCCTCCCACCCCTCCCCTCCCTCATAACCATCGAAAATTGTTTCTATGTGCAAATCTTTGCATGAGTTTTAATAGTAGTGGTCTCATACAGTATTTGTCTTTTTGCGATTGACTTATTTCACCCAGCATAATGCCTTCCAGATTCATCAATGTTGTGGGACGTTTCCCAGATTCATCATTGTTCCTTATCATTGCATAGTATTCCACTGTGTGTATGTACCGTAGTTTGTTTATCCATTCATCTGTTGATGGGCATCTAGGTTGTTTCCATCTTTTTGCTGTTGTGAATAATGCTGCAATCAACATAGGTGTGCATATATCTATTCGTGTGACAGCTCTTATTTCTCTAGGATATATTCCTAGGAATGGGATTGCTGGATCGGATGGTATTTCTATTTCTAGCTTTTAAGGAAGCGCCATATGGTTTTCCAAAACGGTTGTACCATTTCGCATTCCCACCAGCAGTGCATAAGAGTTCCAATCTCCCTGCAGCCTCTCCAACATTTGTTATTTTCCGCTTTTTGATTCATGCCATAATGTAGGGGTGAGATGGTATCTCACTGTAGTACTGATTTGCATTTCTCTAATGGCTAGTGATATCAAGCATTTCCTCAGTGTCTGTTAGCTGCCTGAATGTCTTCTTTGGTGAAGTGTCTATTTATATCATTTGCCCATTTTTTAAATCGGATTATTTGTCTTTTGGTGGTAGAAGTGTTAGATTTTCCTACAGATTTTAGAGATCAGAACTTTGTTGGATTTGTCATAGACTGTTTTTGTTTCCCAGTTTATAATTCTC